ATTTGTCTTATAAAAATTATTATCTAATTTTGTCCTACTTAAAATCGGATTGCCTTACTTAACGTTACAGACGTTGTGAAACAATAGTGCATAATATGCATTATGGGTTAAAAATAGAATAAAAAAGGTTAAGTACTGAGTACCTCGGTTGAGATTGCGAACGCGATGAGTGGTACCTACCTACTTACGGCTCTCATAAACTTGTGTTAGGATTAAGTATCTAAATTATTTTGTGTTGAGTAATAATTATTACTTTGATATCCATAATTATACACCCTATCAGATATATTTATTTAAGCGTTCTTTCCAAGTCTGTTTTTCATTTTAGCAAGTTATAAAAAGATGCCAGCATATATACAAATATATGCATATATACAAAATACCTTTACTATTTTAATGAAGGAATCATTAAAATAGTAAAGGTATTTTGTATAAAAGGACTGCATTACATCCAGTTTGATATACATAATGAAATCTACTAATTATCGAAGATTTTTTTACCCAACTGAAGTAAAGCACCTTGAAAAGTATTGATTAAAATATTTTATATCTACGAGCAAATTTTGTGGTAAGTAAGTTCATTGTATAAGGACATAATATAGTAGGAATCACTTGTTTGACGATAAGTTTTTAATTTTATTCAACGCAAACATTCAGTAACACAAAATTTGTAAAAACTTTGGCCTCTGTAGGTACTGGGCAAATACCTGTATCACAGATACTAGTGCCCTCATGAGTTGTCCCAACTATAATATAATATAATAATATCTTTATTGAACCAAAGACCTTACAATTTTTTGCTTAATATCTAATTTACAATTTATGAAAGGTATACAAATTTATTAAACCCTGCCTCCTAAACTAGGATACCCTGTGTCTTAGGAGTCAGTGTTCCACTGTCGCTTGGACTTAATATAACCCTATCAGATAATCGGTACATTGTGCAAGGTGATATTAGAAACTAGATTACAAAGTAAAAATGAAAAATTGAGTAAGTGAGTGAGCGTGCGTGTGTTTGTGCGTGCGCGTGGGTGCATGTGTGTGTGTGTGTGTGTGTGTGTGGGTGTGTGCGTGCGTATGCAGTTTATATAATGTTTGTTGAAGGTAGGATAGTGTTAGTGTAGCTATGCATGTTTTGTACTAATTTAATTTAGTATAATTAACTATTGGGCAACAGCAGCTCCTCGGTCTGTTCATAGTTAAGAAGATACAATAGATTTTGTAATTTATTTTTAGCCTCATGTTTGTTTAATCTAGTTATAGATAAAGATTTATTTATGTTCCTATAGACTATTGAGCTCAGCACGTATAACTGTCTTCTAGCAAAGGCTGTTTTATGCGACACGCTCGGGCAATTTGTCTTGTTCCTACGTTCACCTGGGTCTGGTGGTGGTATCTGCTGGTGCTTCCATAGAGTGGCCCTGAGCACAAAGAGCTGCCTCACCGTAAGAATTTTATGCTCGGAGTAAAGCTGATGTGTTGAATACCGGAAAGGTTTTTTCAACATTACTTTTAGGACAGCCCTCTGTGCTCGCTCCACCTCCATGAACTTTGTCTTGGCGGAACCACCCCATGCTAAGATGCAATAGCTGGCGATGGACTGACAGAGGGCAGTGTATACCATTTTTAGAATCTGTAGATCTGCAGAGTGCCTCAAGGATTTCATAATTTGAATGGTTTTCCTTACTTTAGAGGCAGTATTTTCAATTTGACTATGCCATTTTAGTCCATCATCAACTATCACACCCAGGTACTTGGCAGATGTAGCCTGTGGCAGTGCTGAACAAGCACAGGTTGTGCGATCCTGACAGGTATGGGCCATGATAGAATACGTGTTGGGTGGTTTTGTTTTCTCACTAATGGAAAAAGGAATATAATTGGTCTTTTTGAGGTTTAGTGTTAGAAGGTTCCTGAGTAACCACTGATTTACTACTTGTAGGGATGCCTCTGCTTTTGTTTTTACTTCAGACCAGCTTTTGCCATGGACCACAATCGCAGTATCGTCAGCATATGCAAATATGTTAGCAGCTGGTAGGGTTAAAGTGCACAAGTCGTTGATGTAAATTAAAAATAGTGTTGGGCCGAGGACACTGCCCTGCGGAACTCCGTACGACATTGTTTCTTCAGCGCTAAGTTTTGATCCTATTTTCACACAGATTTTCCTGTTAACTAGGTAGCTCTCGAAGAGGTTATACACAATTCCTCGTATACCTATACTCTCCAGCTTGGAGAGGAGGGTGGGAACCGAGACCGTGTCGAACGCCTTTGTTAGGTCAAGGAATAGACCTAGGCATTTTTGTTTATTGTCTAACTTCCTTGCTATACAATTTGTTAGGTCTAATACTGCATTTTCGGTAGATAGGCCCTTTCTAAAGCCATATTGGTTATTTGCTATAATATTATGTTTAGTAAGATAATTTACAAGCTGTTTATTAATTATTTTTTCCATAATCTTAGACAATACCGGAAGTACAGCAATTGGTCTATAGTTGTCGACACAGTCTCGAGCACCACCCTTGTGTATAGGATGTATAACTGCTTTTTTGAATGTGTTCGGGAATATACCTGAGTTTATGGAACAGTTAATGATGTGTGTGATCAGTGGTACTAGGTTCTTCTCACATATTTTAATTACTTTCACAGAGATTCCATCCCAGCCCGTCGCAGAATCATGTGTTAGGTTTGAGATGGTGCAAGCTACATCCACGTTATCTACAGGTAATAGGGCTAGGGAAGTATTACTTGACCCGTTTGTCCGACTATGCGGGTCGTTCGGTGCTGAGGTCTCAATTGCAGATGCCAAGTTTTGACCTATACTTGCAAAAAAAATTGCAGACTTGGTTAGCTGCCGCATCTTGATTAGGAGCTGTTTTAAGTAGTTCGTAGGGGGGAGATTTTGTCTTGGTCGTATATGTTAATTCTTTAATTTTGTTCCACAGACTTTTCGGGTTGCTTTTGGCTTTGCGAAGTTCATTTTGCTCATATACTCTTTTAAGTTTCTTTAGTAGTCCATTACAAAAGTTTCGATACCGTCTATATGTGGTTTGTAATATGTGGTTGGTTGGGTCTTTTCGGGCTTTTTTGTGGAGTTTATCACGGTGGCGAATGCACCGTAATAAACCAGGTGTTATCCAGGGGCGAATATTTCGTACTTTCTTAGGGACTGCTACTAATTTAGTGTGCCTCATTATAGCCGCATGTAATATTTTAGTTAGCCTTTCTGATGCAAAGTTAGGATCATTTGTGTCTAATACTTCTGAGAAATCTTGTGAATCAATATCAATCTTGAGACTTGTGTAATCGGTTTTAGGTATTTTATAGGCAGGTATCTTAGACGGGCGTGTATTACTTATTGATAATAGGACTGGAAGGTGATCGGTGATATGCGACTGAATCACGAGTGAGGTAGCCGTTCTGTCTGTTTTCAGCAATGCATGGTCTATACAATTGTCAATTCTGGTCGGAATTCTGTGTGCTGGAAGTAATCCGTGAGTAGCATTTAATGTTAGATATTCACTTGCCCGCGCTTGCATACCCAAAGGTTTAATATCAATATTGGTATCCCCAATCAAACATATATTTGCGTAGTTCTTAAGGGACGTGAGTACATTATCTAAGCTGTTAAGGAAGTTGTCATACTCAACTTTTGTATTAAACGCCGGTGACCGATAGACTGTTATAATTGAGATTGTGTTCGCTATTTCACATGTTAAGCAATTCCCATTTAAAAAGTTAGGTTCCTTAACAGTACAGTCAATGTCATCTTTTATGTATAGGACAATCCCGTCATTTTGGTTAGCTGTGTGCTTTGTGTAGTGTGACTTATAGCCGTTCATTACCGGTAAGTTGTGAACTTTATTTAACCAGCACTCAGTCAGTGTAATAACGTCGCACTTAACTTTTAGTGAAGTTATTAAAACCAATAATTCATCGAAGTTTTTATTGATGCTTCGTATATTTACGTGAAGTATATTAATCCCATCACATGACCCTAACAAGTATTTTGAACAATCGGACGGTGAACACTTGTATGATTGCGCAATTTCAAATTCATCTAAATCAACAATAATAGAAGATTGTATATGGTTAGCCATTTGTTAGGAATGATTTAAGGGTAAGTACTATAACACGATACGTTAAAACGAGTATTGAGCCCAATGGCGTAAGACCGTAAAGGCTTATGTCTAGCAGTCGACCACCACTGGCTGATAAACAACTATCACACTCTTTCAAAATAGTAAATAGGGACAACTCATGAGGGCACTAGTATCTGTGATACAGGTATTTGCCCAGTACCTACAGAGGCCAAAGTTTTTACAAATTTTGTGTTACTGAATGTTTGCGTTGAATAAAATTAAAAACTTATCGTCAAACAAGTGATTCCTACTATATTATGTCCTTATACAATGAACTTACTTACCACAAAATTTGCTCGTAGATATAAAATATTTTAATCAATACTTTTCAAGGTGCTTTACTTCAGTTGGGTAAAAAAATCTTCGATAATTAGTAGATTTCATTATGTATATCAAACTGGATGTAATGCAGTCCTTTTATACAAAATACCTTTACTATTTTAATGATTCCTTCATTAAAATAGTAAAGGTATTTTGTATATATGCATATATTTGTATATATGCTGGCATCTTTTTATAACTTGCTAAAATGAAAAACAGACTTGGAAAGAACGCTTAAATAAATATATCTGATAGGGTGTATAATTATGGATATCAAAGTAATAATTATTACTCAACACAAAATAATTTAGATACTTAATCCTAACACAAGTTTATGAGAGCCGTAAGTAGGTAGGTACCACTCATCGCGTTCGCAATCTCAACCGAGGTACTCAGTACTTAACCTTTTTTATTCTATTTTTAACCCATAATGCATATTATGCACTATTGTTTCACAACGTCTGTAACGTTAAGTAAGGCAATCCGATTTTAAGTAGGACAAAATTAGATAATAATTTTTATAAGACAAATAAAATGCACAAAAAATGTTTATATATCTCTTTATTTTACATATTTACAAGCATAATTACAGCTAAGTAATACATATTTAAAAACAATACAGTATATAACTTAATTCGTTAAAAGGAAATAACAAAACGAAACGAAAGTAGACTTTCATTTTACGTAAAATAGGTTTAAAATTGTATAACAATAGGTAATGCTCTTTGAAAGATCTTTATCGGATGATTTTTTTAAATTGAAGTTGAACTTATTTAATGGACTTATGAAAGTTCGAGAGGGAAGAAGTGAACAATTACGTATCTTAGCAATAGACAGTACCCAAATAGCGATTCACGAAAATGAACAAAGAACTTCCGTCACACTCTCTGGAGTTAATAGTCACGCTGGTATTTTTAAAAACTAATTTTGTATTTATTTTCGACGCGTCTGGTCATTAGACGACAACATTATTTCATACTCTTTATTCTTCGACATAATAGCGACCGAGAAAAATATGTCAGCGCGGAAGAATACAATTTTACGTAATGGCAATATAATTCTTAGATGTATATCATTTAACTTATATACGAATAGGTATGACCTTGGCAGATAACAATACAATTTAAATTTATTTAAAAAGGAACTGGATGTTTTTCGTATAAAATCATGGCGGTAATGTATGTATGAAGGGCAAACGTTTAGAATTTGAAGTTTTTTTTTCGGACAAAAGTTAACAAAATAAGGGAAGGAAAGAATACTTAGTTATTTTTATGAATATAAGGATTGAAGGTAGTCTTCCCTTTAATGTACTTTAATAGTTTAAAATGTTAAATAATTTCGAACTACAAAATAGTAATTACATGTATAAAAATTAATATACTATTTCAACATTAAAAGGCACGGTAATTCTCGAATTTATTATAAAATACAATAAGGGCTGTTATGGTTTATAACTATGAAAATTTAATTAATTTAAGTAACATTATTTGTCTAATATTCCACATAAACTAAAATAATAAAATAAACATATATGTATTTCTTGGGCCCGTACTTTTGTAACAATAATAAGTTATTTATTTTGACACAAAAGAATCAATTATACTTTTTGTATCGAAATAAACAACAGACTGTCTTCAGCAGAAGACTCCAAAGACTTTTGAATCTATGTTACAAGACCTAAACAGGCCAGATCTTATCATGAAACCTTAAAAAGTTTAATTTACGAACCAAAGAAGGTCCACGCGATAGGAAATTAGTGCTTATTAATGATAATATGAATTAATATACAACAATTAATAAATGATCAAAAGATTGTGTTGTAAGCAAAATAAGGTCTTCGTTAAAAATCTTATTGGTTTTACCAAAATTGAAATAATATGCAAAAAATCCTAAATTCAAAGTGGAGAATATTTTAATGTAAAAAAAATGTAAATAAAATAAATGTAAGCCAAAAATAACTTCATATTTTTATTTTATAAAATTATTTCAGTTAAATGACCCATGATAAACATAAATAACTTTAATAGGAATATTTTTGTAATGATAATTGTTTTAATTTACGCTCTAAGGATTCCCATTCACCTACTTATTTTTTATCATAAAAATCTCCACTTATAAAGTAAGACTCTACGAATGCAGAAATTACTTAAGGAACCAAACCTTAAGCAATTCCTGTTAATTTTACTATTATTCCATTTTCGACAATGCCAATAATATCAGCGCCTTACATTGTGGACCTAAGTATTCGAATATTTGTGAAAACCTGCAATTTGATACGTAAATAAAACTTGTGAAGGTTGAATGATAAAAAATGGCCTATGGTGGTCTTGCAACTAAAATTCTGTGTAAGTGGATGATAAGTGCTAAAATAGTCCTTTGAATTTTCTGCTTTTATCAGTTCCATCAAGCGTTTACAGCAGTTGTACACAAATATAAACAATTTTATATTTTACTGCTTCATAAAATCATAAAATTTCACAAAATTTACCTACGGCCCAAACCAAATTGTTTATTGTTTATTATTATTTTTCATCAACTTAATATTATAATGCTGAATATTCTGTTAATAGAATTGAACAAAAAATAACAATGCCATTCATTATTGATTGCACTATTGTAGTGTCAATTCAACCAGGAAGTTACACTGTAATAAATACCATAGCGGCCCTTATATTATTTCATTGTAACTCTTAAACTATATACATAGTGTAATAAAATACCGCGCTGTCTGAAAATAATTATAATTTAACATTTATAAATATAAAAAGAAATCTCCAGACCTTTTGACCAAGTAGGGCTGCCACACAGCCACCAATCATTTTAGTATTGTATAAACGTAGATACATCTGGCACTTTTTTCTTAAACTAATACTAAATTTAAACATCACAGTTACTACGGCGTTCGTATAACAACATGGCTGACATGTTGCTAAGAACTTAGTAACGTTAGTGATGCCGCGGGGGAACGTAAACTGGCCATTGGTAGACTGGTGCTCTTACTGTACTCTGTAAACAAAAGTTATGTTTAAAAAGACGAACAAAAATCATGAGTCTCAAATGTTTACAACTAGTTTCTTGGAAAATGCGAAGAAATAACATACGTCCAGTATCAAGCTTACATATCTTCTTTAACGTTGCCCCACACTAGAACTTTTTCATGGGTCGCTTTTGTAGTTGGAAACTTGCAAAAATTAAATACACATTACCTCACATTTTAGATCACACAAAGAGCTGTTCTGTGCTGGAATCGAACCAACAACACTTTCCACGGCAGTCGGTTGCCCAGCTACTCCGTCAACTATGCAGTGTAATTAATTACATACAACTGTTCAAATACTCAATGAGTACTGAAAAATATTTTTCGTAATGTAGGTAAGTCAACTTACTTCCAGAGAATTCCTAACATTCCGCCTCGTGGCGTCCTTCTCGTATTTCCACTGGAAATCGTGAGCAGAGTCCACACCCACCGTTCCGGGCTCATGAGCGCCTTCTATCTGATTGAATTTAGCATCTTCTTGTTTTGCTGGGTTTTGTTCTTGAACGTAAGCTGGGAAGAAGTACCGGAGACCAATGCCTGGTAAGCTCTGACTTCCAAGAATAGCTGGTGGGTTTGATTGATGAACTTGTCCTCTCTGGTGTTGCTGCACCGCTTTGAGAGGAATGTAAGCGTTGACAAATCGTTGCGCATTGTTCAACTGCTGCGGTGGTGGAGGGGAGTTGAAGATGACGTTAGTGTATCTCGGCTGAGGCACGAAGAAGGGTGGTCGCCTGGGGTAATAAGGAACATTGATAACTCAAAAAATATACTAACAGCGATAAACAAGTGACCAGAGACTTGTCACCAATTATAACAAAATCGAATTTCTTTTTGGCTACACTCCGTGGCTTTTTCTAATATTTACCGTAGAAATTACTGGTATTAGAACGAATTTACGAAAAAGATTTGAAACACGCATAACTCACACAATATAAATAATTTAAATGTTAATATAATAACATAATAATAAAAATATATTCATTTACCATTGAGCGTTAGGGTCGGGCGTGTCATTGGAGCGTTCCTCCCACACAGGCGCAGGTTTACGGTACGGCTGTGGGGCAGGAGTAGGCTCCGGCGTTGGAGGTACAATGGGACCATCTTTAGTGCCAAACTTCACCATGATTGCGTGTGCGCTGGACGCGTACACCACCAGGCATATCAGCAACTGGGAAAGAAAGAAGAATTAAGACCTATTTTGCGGTTTTTGGGTGATCCTAGTGGTACTAGTTGTAAAAGGTCACTGATCCGCTGTGAAAACAAAGGATTTTTTTCAATTGTGAACTTTTCTGAAAGTATTTTTCAAGCTTAGTCTAATTTAATAATTTGATGTAATTATAATATCTGTAAAGTTTAGTTTCCAATAATATTATTATTTATTTATTTGTTAGTGATGATAATGATGAATAATGTTAGTTGAAACAAGCATAATATCTACAAGACGTAATAATAGATGATCAAATTAAATGTAAATTATAAATTGTGTACTGAAGCATTACCAAAGAAGGCATCTCGTTCTATTAAATAACGTGAATTTAAAATAGATCTCATAATTTAATTTATTATCTACCAATATTAACTATACAATACATACCCACCTGAGTACACATAAATAATAATTAAATGTTAAGAATGATATAATTCAAACAGTTGATTATGCGTATGACCTTCTTACTATGTTTAATTATAAGGAAGTTCTCCTAATTGAAATCTTCCTCTAATGTTACATCAACATTGAAAATCCCATATTGTTATAGTACAATTAATAATCGTACCAATGTGAGAAGTAGGTATAGTGGCTATTGTTAAGATTAGGCTCAAGGGTTAAACAAAGGGATCGTCAAAAGAATTGGACACTACTCGGACAGACTACCAGTCTTCTTCAAATAAAATCAAACATTTATGTGCATAATACAGGTATAGAAGATGTTACAAATAGATAGAATACATTGTATCATTACCTTATAAGATATGCAAATATTTATAAAATCTGTAGTCAATCTAATTATTCTAATAACATTGCTTTCAAAATGAAAAAGCTCAATCTTTTTTTTCAATAAGGAATCGAAAACGTGTTCGATTTTTGCTCATTCTTATTGTGGCCACTACAACAATGGGACATGTTTTCTACTTTAAACCTTATTAATTAATTATTAAGGTATATACCGCCCGCTTTGAAGCCAAATCTCATAAAACATAGCAACATTATACAGTGGGTTAAGTTAAATGAGGTACATATACAAGGACCTGAGGGACCATACACCTTTTATAGCTCCATCCCTCTTTCTCGCCCGAAAGATTCACGCTTTAACACGCCATGGTAGGCCTGCTGATTCTGGTGCTTAAATAAAGAAACTTCTTAAAAAAATTACTTCTCTATGTAAAATGATTAATCAGTTGTTGCGATTTGTATGGGGAAAGAAAATTATTTTTGAAGTTAAGATATTGGTGCCATGAAAAAGTTGTTGTAATTAGGCACCAAAATCGGCTCCTTCATTATCCCTCGTTTAACCTCTACACTGTATACCTACTTCTATGCCTAAGATGGGCTAAGTACCGAGCTTGGATTTAACAACATAACTTAGTATAATTATAGTTGTGCTTCTATACTTAATGATATGTTTTCTTGCCAATGACATTGAATTATGTTACTTGCCCGTCAAAGGGCCAAACCAGTTCTTGTTATGCATCGATTACCGCACTTATATTAATCATTAAATTAAGAATATTCGATATTAATCATTAAATTACACCACTACAATGTAAAGATACCTTGGAGGTGAGACGACTGACAAGTCAATGATTATGCGAATAAAGAAAATTGTTGCATAAGTTTGTATCACCTTCTATACACATATACATAGATTAAAAATATTTACCTTATCTTTTCATGTCATTGGTGACCGGCTGATAAATTTTCAAATTGGATAAATAAAACGGTTTAAAAATTGATTTCTACATGACTAATTATGCTGCATTATATGATAACTATGTATTAATATTTTTCGCATTCAAAACTTAGTCAGCTCAACCACGGCGGTTGGGATCACTCAACCTACAAAATCCAGTATGTTATTTGAATTGAAAAATAAATATACATGAGAGGCGTTTAAACACAAAAGAACTGCCACTGATTTTATCATATAATCTAACTCGAACCATTTCCAAATAAATCTAACAACGTCGCTGATAAGACATCAGATTAAATCACGATGAAAACCCTCATTCTCATAAAACGCACCGAAGTTTCCGCGAACTGACTTCATATTTAATTAAGACCACTTCATTCAATCAGCATCACACATCTTCATCTCATGGCCTTGGCGGACTAACTTCAATGCTTATCTTTCCCACGTGAACATCTTTTACCACTACATTACCGTGGTTGCAAATAAAGACTAGTTTTATTTTTTCACTAAATTTTTATCTATTAAATGCTCGGTAAATTGCACATTTTTAGTACCGGTCTCCATTGTTTGTCAGTTAGCACACCGCCTGTTGCAACGGTCTTTCCAAACTTACGATTATAAAGTACGAATGCTTATCAAAACATCTGGATGAATTTATTAAAGTCGAGCACCAAATGGATGGAAGGAGATTAATGTTTGTTAACAAGCGAATTCGTTCGCAGCGTTCAGGGGCGAGTGGTCTTCATTTAGATCGGTTGATAATGTATCATGTATTAAACGTTTTACTTGTACATACCTGTAACCTCGTCGAAAATATCATGTTTGTTTGTTTTTGTGTTGTCTACCTTGACATTCGTCACTGCCCCCTGTAACAAAGTTAAAATAAATTAGGATAATTTGTCAGAGCCAAAAACAGTTGATGGTATCATTACAATTGTCAGTACAGTTGAAGATTGAGTGCTTGCAATTTTAATAGCAAGTGTCCAAATAATTGTACCCATCAAGCTTGACACGAAATTACAGCTATCAACAGTCTTAAAAAAAGTTATGAAAACATATATTTACTTGGTACGAAGATTAAAACGGGTAATTGAGATAATTATTATAAGAACTCTTTTTGAGTTTCGAAAGTTGTGACTGCAGATCATAATAATATGATCGAACAATACTTGAACTTCGCTGGAGCCGAAGACGTATAAGGATATGTCTGTATTGACTTACAAGGGTGTCTTATGAGTTCACCCATCAATGCATATTTATTTTTATTTGATTTTACATACAACTTTACTATACGTCCTTATTACTAATCCCTGCATCGCCCGAAAGTTGACAAGTAAAAAAGCTTTTGGCTATTAGTAAACCCATGGCTTATATGTTACAAAAAAATGTATAATAACAGTAACTATTTAAGTGCAACTGGTAAAAATATCTAACTCTCTTTAAATCATCATGATTCTCAAAAAAACTTTGGTTACTTAAACAGGACAAACAAAAACGAATAATCAAAAATGAAATTTGATAACAGTGTCACTATAAAATCATATTTGTTTTAGTGTTTAAACATCTTTTCACAACTAAACCTAGAACATAATCTGCTAAGCCACCTATAGGCCAAAGATATACTACTTCAGAAGACAGGTTTCCTAAGCCTACCTACTTTATTATTATAAAGTGTTTTGAAACACTGGAAGAAAGGTGAACAAGTCGGCGTATCTTGCACGCATCACAATGGTACTAGTAAATAGAGCTTGACATTTGTATCAGCTACCTGGTAATAAGTACCTTATGTTGTAACTGTTACATTATAATTTAGCGATGATACGGTTACAAGGTTGTATCTGATAAGGTTACTAGTTACAACCTGAATTAGTACGTTTTGGAATGTGGTAGATACTTTAGGTAATGCGAAAGAAATGGTTGTAAAGTTAAGTTAGTTGAGAGTTTTCTACATAGTATTGGTTGGACTTATTGTGTCTTTTTTCTTGATCAACTCTACACTTTAGTCACCAAATGTCTTAATATGTTTCGGAGGCCTCTATTAGTAACCGAATATGTTTTGGAGACTTTTGTCTTCTTTGTACATCTAAGAAAAATGAAAAGGTTTAAGATTCTCTAAGAAATAAGGTGACTTGATACACTTCGCCATTTTTTACACACAAATTTTATTGTAAAAGAAACAATAATCTTTGCATGTAAAAGGCATTACTAGTACCACTTTAATATTGATTATTGTGGTACTATTTATCTTTAAAGTTAAAGCTCAAATTTGTAATACGTATGACATAAACAGATCACCAAAAGTAATTACTGTGAAGTTAACAAGTATGATCTATTGCACGATATAAGGTTACTGTAAGGGTAACCCGTATAATACAATAAATTGATAAGATCCGTATCAGAAACTGAACACTGTTTTGCCATTGATCGCAGAGATATCCTATTGTTAACGGATTGGATAATGTTTTGTGATAAATTGCAATGAATTTGGTCTTGATAGAGCCATTAGTTGTGTTTCAAAATAGTTTGATATCCATCGTTTTCCTAGAATTTTCTTAAATATCTAGCTTTTTTGAAACTTATATAAACTAATAGAAAATCTAAAAAACTGATATAAAGACTTTAAAGTTAATCAAATTGCAATTAATATGGTCGTATGATAGGTATTAGAAAATCCTGAATTTATTAATTCATAAATTCTTAGTTTAGCATTGAACGTTCAGGTACAAGATACTTGTCTCAAAGACACCCTTGTCTTAAACAACGTCTTTTTGCAACAATTAACATGCTGATTGAAGTACACCTAGCTTTGTCGTAATTGAAAATTAAAAAATTGAATCCCAAAATACGATTTGTCCATCAAAATAGTTTCCATTTCAGTAATAAAGAGGCCACTTATTCGCATTCGGATTACGCCAAAAAGTTTAAAAAATATTGAGTGCCAATGCCCGTGTTTCGTCGGCGCACAGCTTGACATAAATTCGTGCCAAGAATACGCACGAATGTTTTGAATTTTTAATACGCTTTCAACGATTGCCTCAACCCTATTTTAGCAACCTCGGCCATATTTCATAAAGGCCCACATATAAGTACCATTGAATATAAAAAAAATGTTTTATTCATTAATACTACTTATATTGAACTCGAAAAGGAGTGTAAAGAACATAAATTTTAACATCTTGAAAGGTTAAGACGGTATTTTATGTACACTTGGAAACGAATCTTGCAGTTTCTTTTAATATGACTATTAATTGAATGTTTAAAAAAAGTATGTGAAACACGGTTCTTTACTCATGTAATGTCAGTAAATAATGTTGGTATTCTCTTACACGGCATTTGCATTTTATTTCGTTAATTTAAGTCTCATTTAATTTTACTTATAGTACTTTACATTTGTATTGCAATTGTAATGAGTTTTAATGTGTATGTATGAATTATTACAAGTGTTTAAGGTGTGTCTTATTACATTATGTATTTATATTTATTTATACATTTTTTTTATTAATTCTCAACAAACTCAATATGCCTCGCCTCTTTTATAAATATGTAGTATGAACGCCTGTCAAATCGAAGTTAGTATATAGAAAAAACAATGTTTAGAATTTCATTCGATAAAATTATAATTTATAACAAAATAAACAGTAATAACAGAGAAGATACTTGTTAAGCAAAATCTAACCTTAATGTGCTGATATATAAAAGCATCGAGTCGAATCTTCGCTAATGTGTTTATGAAAATTGTCGTAGCAATGTTTGACTCTATAATTAATAGATAGTGCTCGTTGATTAGTTCAGTTCGATTTAAAACAAAGATAACAGATTTTTGTTTTCACAAGTCAAATTCATCATCCATAGCATATTCATTTTTAAAATTGGCTTCAAATACTATTAAAATATTTCAAAATCATAAGGCTAAATTTTAACCAAGAAATCCAAAGTACACCACGAAAAAACTGACCTTTCTCACCAACATCTTTTTACTAAAGAAAAAAATGAGAAAAATGACACACCAAAATTAAATATTAACGCATAATTAAATCGGTGCGTATTATTCCGCACCAGTTGTTAGCATTTGCTCAAGAGCAGTAGCAATTCAATACAACGCGGTTAATCCGACATTAGTTCTGCGATCTACAGTCACGAGTTTGATTATGATAATCAATAACTTAACAGACCTTGTATTATTTCGATATTCTAATCGTTACAAGTTATGTTGCATCTTGTGAAAGATGTTCTTTGATTGTATTTATTAAGCTCTATTCTGTGTATTGCTTTTGTATCAAGAATGTTTTTCAAGTATATTCGATAATTTATTTGTAGGTAGATACTAGACAGCAGGTACTTTCTGAAAAGTTGACTAACGTTGTTTATTACTTACACTTCTTGTAAATAGGGGGAATGAATGAATAAAATTCGAGGGGTGAATAGATACACGAAAGGGTTGAATAGATGTTGTCGTATTTTCCTAGTATCTATTCACCCCTTTTCTGTGTCTATTCACTCCTCGAATTCTATTCACCCCGTTTTACCGTAACTTCTTGTGCGATGCAAATGCAATACTCAATTAAATCATATTTGTATCGTTTGATTCTATGCTCCGTTATATGTACTTTTTAAGTAAGTCCCAATTGAACCCTTATCCCAAAGTAGATACCGTTGTTTGAAGAGGGAAAATCATCTTCTGGCAAACTCGGGCTCTTACTTATTAAAGACCAAAAACCATATTATCGTTTCAGCTTCTGCGGTGAACCGGGCCACGGCAACTTATTCTGCCTTGCATATCTGTATCGGCCCTAATGGACCCATCTGTGGTAGTCGAACGTTTCTTTGAACGAAGTAGGTATATAACCAGCCCATTTTAAAAAGTTAGAATGACTATGTCGTTATCCTCGCAGAAGTAAGGATTACTAATAGAGGTACTTATCAATGTGAAGTTCAATTGCTCCGTGATACGAACATCAGTTTAAGTATAATTCCTACATATATAATGATAGGCAACCTATTAAGTATTGTTTTATCTTTAATTACTCACGATATGGTAATTATGGTCACGCTCCTATTCCGAAAGGGACTAGATATAGAATCAATGGTGAGCATCAGGCAGAACCATTAGGACGACCCCAGTTTTTATATGGTAGGTAAAATTTTATAACTTGTTACAAAACCTAAGGAGCCCGCTTCTCATGCATGAGGGTGTGGGTTCGAAACCTGGCAAGTACCAATGTGACTTTTTCCGAGTTATATGTACTTTCTATGATTATTTAGACACCACTGACATACGGTGAAGGTAAACATCGTGAGGAAACCTGGACTTATAATTTCTAATTATAAGTTTGAAATCGCCAATTGAGCAAGCGTGGTGATTAACGCTCTAACCTTCTCCGTATGAGAAGAGGTCTTTGCTCAGCAGTGGGCATTTATAGGCTGATGATGATGTTACAAAACCGCTATCTGTAGCCTAGTAGATTTTAAAAATCGATGTTATTGTTTCAATAAGAAATTCCTTTTTAATGTCATTATAAGTTTAGACTAATAACCAAGTAAATAATAGATTCTGTACAAAAGAAAAAGTACATTTATACCAGTTCTGTTCATTTATATATAATTTTATCTTCTTTAAAAAACTAATAATTTTGAAGAAACATCGTAATTTATATGCTAAGCAATATAATGTAGGCAGCATGAAAACCTGCTTATCATTCTACAAACCCTACGTATTCCACAATAAGTTGTTTCCCACAGCAAAACCAACGCCTTCTGTGGGATGACAGGCTGCAGTTACATGTAGTTTTTCTCAAATTCCCACAAGCCATAGCGCAGTGAAATACGCACGTCAATTTGTTAAATTAACCAGTCTATCCATTCCGAG